GACTGTTCCCCAAAGGGAGCCAGGGTGTTCCCGTCGGCCGCCCGTCCGACCTCTTCCCCAAGGGAGCAGGGATGTCCCATCAGCCCGCCGTCGGACTGTTTCCCAAGGGAAGGCGGGGAAAGGGAGCCGGGGAGTCCCGTCGGACTGTTCCCAAAGGGAGCCAGGGGTGTCCCGTCGGCCGCCCGTCCCGACTCTTCCCCAAAGGGAGCCGGGGAGTCCGTCGGACGTTCCCCAAAGGGAGCCAGGGGTGCCCGTCGCCGCCCGTCCACTCTTCCCAAAGGAGCAGGGGTGTCCCGTCGGCCGCCCGTCCGACTGTTCCCCAAAGGAGCAGGGGTGTCCCGTCCCGCCGTCGAATGTTCCCCAAAGGGCAGGAGGGAGCCGGGTGTCCCGTCGGCGCCGCCCGTACGACTGTTCCCCAAAGAGAGCCGGGGTCCCGTCGACCGCCCGTCCGAATGTTCCCCAAAGGGAGCCGGGGTCCCGTCGGCCGCCCGTTCGACTGTTCCCCAAAGGAGCCAGCGGGTGTCCCGTCGGCCACCCCCCCGTCCGACTCTTCCCCAAAAGGGAGCCGGGGTGTTCCCGTCGGCCGCCCGTCCGACTCTTCCCCAAAAGGAGCCAGGGGGTGTCCCGTCGGCCACCCGCCGACTCGGACCAGGGTCGTCCCACTCTTCCCAAAGGAGCCGGGGAGTCCCGTCGGCCGCCCGTCCAATCTTCCCCAAAGGGAGCCAGGGTGTTCCCGTCGGCCGCCCGTCTCTTCCCCAAAGCCCAGGGGTGTCCCGTCGGCCGCCGTCCGACTCTTCCCCAAAGGGAGCCGGGGTGTTCCGCCGTCGCCGCCCGTCCGACTCTTCCCCAAAGGGAAGCCAGGGTGTCCCGTCGCCGCCCGTCCGACTCTTCCCCAAAGTCCCGTCGGCCGCCCGTCCGACTCTTCCCCAAAGGGAGCCAGGGCCCGTCCCGCCCGTCCGACTCTTCCCCAAAGGAGCCAGGGGTGTCCCGTCGGCCCGCCCGTCCGACTCTTCCCCAAAGGGAGCCAGGGGGTCCCGTCGGCCGCCCGTCCGACTCTTCCCCAAAGGGAGCCGGGGTGTCCCGTCGGCCGCCCGTCCGACTCTTCCCCAAAGGGAGCCAGGGGTGTCCCGTCGCCGCCCGTCCGACTCTTCCCCAAAGGGCGAGGGGCCGGGGCCGGTGTCCCGCCGGGGTCCCGTCGGCCGCCCGTCCGACTCTTCCCCAAAGGGAGCCAGGGGTGTCCGTCGGCCGCCCGTCCGACTCTTCCCAAAGGAGCCAGGGTGTCCCGTCGCCGCCCGTCGACTGTTCCCCAAAGGGAGCCAGGGGTGTCCCGTCGGCCGCCCGTCCGACTCTTCCCAAAGGGAGCCAGGGGTGTCCCGTCGCCACTCTTCCCCAAAGGAGCCAGGGTCCGTCGGCCGCCCGTCCGACTCTTCCCCAAAGGGAGCCAGGGGTGTCCCGTCGGCCGCCCGTCCGACTCTTCCCCAAAGGGAGCCAGGGTGTCCCGTCGGCCGCCCGTCCGACTCTTCCCCAAAGGGAGCCTCCCGTCACTCTTCCCCAAAGGGAGCCAGGGGGTCCCGTCGGCCGCCCGACTCTTCCCCAAAGGAGCCAGGGGTCCCGTCGGCCGCCCGTCCGACTCTTCCCCAAAGGGAGCCAGGGTGTCCCGTCGGCCGCCCGTCCGACTCTTCCCAAAAGAGAGCCAGGGGGTCCCGTCGGCCGCCCGTCCGACTCTTCCCCAAAGGGAGCCAGGGGTTCCCGTCGGCCGCCCGTCCGACTCTTCCCCAAAGGGAGCCAGGGTGTCCCGTCGGCCGCCCTCCCGACTCTTCCCCAAAGGGAGCCAGGGGGTCCCGTCGGCCGCCCGTCCGACTCTTCCCAAAAGGGAGCCAGGGGTGTCCCGTCGGCCGCCCGTCCGACTCTTCCCCAAAAGGGAGCCAGGGGGTCCCGTCGGCCGCCCGTCCGACTCTTCCCCAAAGGGAGCCAGGGGTCCGTCGGCCGCCCGTCCGACTCTTCCCCAAAGGGAGCCAGGTCCCGTCGGCCGCCCTTCCGACTCTTCCCCAAAGGGAGCCAGGGGTGTCCCGTCGGCCGCCCGTCCGACTCTTCCCCAAAGGGAGCCAGGGGTGTCCCGTCGGCCGCCCCAACTCTTCCCAAAGGAGCCAGGGTGTCCCGTCGGCCGCCTGTCCGACTCTTCCCCAAAGGCCAGGGGTCCGTCGGCCGCCCGTCGACTGTTCCCCAAAGGGAGCTCGGCAAAAGGGAGCCAGGGTGTCCCGTCGGCCGCCCGTCCGACTCTTCCCCAAAGGGAGCCGGGGTGTCCCGTCGGCCGCCCGTCGGACTGTTCCCCAAAGGGAGCCGCCCGTCGGCCGCCCGTCGGACTGTTCCCCAACGCGCCAATTCCGCAAGTTCGGCTCGGGTCGCAACCAATATGACTTAGCCGCCGCACGGAAGCCAAATCCTGGTGATCCGGCGACAAAGCTTCGGGACAAAGCCCATTACTCTGTGTAAGTCGGCATCGAACGCCCTTTCGGTGCAATCTATCAATGTTATTGTTGTAAATAAAACGTGTTAAATACACAGCGACTGAGTCGGCGTGGCACCGGGTTTAATGGGAGGTGCCCTGGGGAAATTGACGCTCCGGACCACGCCAAAAATGAATGGGTTTCGGTAGCCCCAATCGCGTCCATTGAGAAATATGGCCGTACCTGTTAAAAGAGAACCCTGTGTGGAACCATAACCGATAATTATAGTAAAACCATAAGTCTCAATAACCTCTCCGCCCGGTAAGCCTTTGAGCTTATTGCACCGCTTCATATGGGACGGAATCTATACCGGTTCAGTGAAACGTGAAAGTGGGTTACAAGGGAGATAGTATTTTGCATGTAGAACCTAATAGGCCTACCTTGTAAGTTAAATTCTCGAATTACGTTAATCGATAAATTCATTTGAACATACGATGATATTCCAACAATGCGGAAAATAGTAAAATAAAACATATCAGAGCTTTTCACAGAACATGAGCAAGAGGAAAGCCACGGCATGGCATTGCGTAGAGTGAGAACGAGCACGACTTCGTACCCTCCTGGCTGCAGCACAAGCGTGGTCCAGAATGACGTCACACAAACGAGAGCATGCTGCAAGATCTGCCGGTTTCCGCGTCTTCCCGTAGGCTACGCGTGCAAGCGGAAACACAGCGGAGGTTAACTTTAAACTCTATATTGATTCCGGGGCCGCTGTTCGGGTCACTGGTCAGACTGTGTTGGGGGAGGGCGATGATGTTCCTTCGTGGTGTGACAAGGGCCACGAAAGCAATGTGGTCTGTTGTGGCCAGTCAACGAATCACATCACACCATAATTCCCTCTTTTCCCTTTTAAAAGTGATGTCAAAGGGGGGAGGGAAGGTATCGCATCTACCAAAAAGTGCAGAAGTCAAGAAAGCGTTCCCTCGCTCCCGAATCTTGCAAGAAAGTGTCCCTAACAAACTTAAAACTCCACAGATTGCGAGCACCGAAAACGCCGTGTTGTGGACTTTCCTCCCAAAGTTCAGCTGCAGCCACCCTCAGACAACGGCCGGGCGCGATGAGTCAACAGAGTCGGCTTGGATTTTCCGCCGCTTCCAGAGATGCTCTAACCTTCCCAGTTTTCTGCCCGACCCCGCTCTTCCTCTCTACTTATTATTAGATTCACTCTCTGTTTCCTATCTCATTCCCTCCAACTTTCTGTTTCCTCTCTCATTTACTCCCTTTCCATTTCCTCTCTAGTTCATTCCCACTTTCCATTTCCTCTCTAGTTCATTCCCACTTTCCATTTCCTCTCTCGTTCATTCCTACTTTCTATTTTCTCTCTCGTTCACTTCCACTTTCTATTTCCTCACTCATTCACTCCCACTTTCCATTTCTCTTCTCTTATTCCCTCCCACTTTCCACTCCTCTTCTCATTCCCTCCCATTTTCCATTCCTCTTATTCACTCCCACTTCCTATTTCCTTTCTCACTCTCACTCTCCATTCCCGCCTCTCTCTTTTACTCTCCCTTCCCTCTCTCGCTCAATGATATCCGCCATTAATTTAAACCCACCGCTGTCATTCCGTCACACATCCAATGAACAATAATATTCCCCGCACGTGTCATTAACCCAACCACGGGAATAGAAGCTAAAAAAAGGAAAGAAATGGCCTTTGTTTCCCAGAATGGCTTTACACACTCACTACCAGTGCGGCTGGCGGTGATTACGGGAATTTATTCACAGCCAAAAGGTCTAAATCGGATATCATATACAGCCGTCTACATTGCAATTGAGCCAGTTTGTTTGCCTGTTTGTTAAAGCTCCCCATCAGTAACTGCCGGTAAGATTATTATTGACAAACAGACTGTAGGATGGCGAAGAGGTGCGGGGCGAGGTAGACAGAATTACAAAAGGCACGTGCTGGCCAAATGAGACTGATGAACACGAAAAAACTTATGTCAAAAGACTCTGATGAACAAGGAAAAGCTTATGCCAAAAGACTGATGAACAAGAAAAAGCCCAAGTTAAAAGATACTGATGAACACGAAAAAAGATTGTCAAAAGACTGATGAACACGAAAAAGATTGTCAAAAGACTGATGAACACGAAAAAGATTGTCAAAAGACTGATGAACACGAAAAAGCTTATGTCAAATGACTCTGGTGAACAAGAAAAAGCTCATGTCCAAAAACACTGATGAACACGAAAAAGCTTGTTAAAAGATACTGACGAACACGAAAAAAAAAATGATGTCAAATGATACTGATGAACACGAAAAGAGCTATTGTTCACATCCCTCAAGCAATAAGGAGAGGGGTGCGGTTTAAAGACCATCACGCCTCTGGACACTTATTTTACACAAGGACGTCGAGCTGCCACACGTCCAATCGCAACCGTTACCTCCCACAGCGCGTGACGTCCATGTATATTCTTTACGTCATGACACCACAAAGCCCAATGACAAGGAAAACAAGGCACCATGGAATGATTTATAACCAGCATGTATGAACTACACATTTATCCACGTTCTGCCCAAACACCCATGCCATAACGTGCAAGAAAACAGCATTGCATGTCGTCATGTAGACGTCCCGTGCTGACCACGCTCTCGATACACCCCCCTCCCCCCCCCCCTTCCGACGACACGTGTGATACAACAGGTCGTTGCCCTTTCGAGCCATTGGCCTTCGAGCTCGTACTTTTTTCTGAGAATTTTCAAAGGAATGACAACATAATCTGGACATATTACATCGGTTTGTAGTGCATAATCGTATACGAAGGCATACATCATCAAGGGTTGCATGCGTATGCATATACATGTGTAATCAACACAGTATATTATTTGTATAAACATATAGAAGTGTGTATGTGCGTGTGTGTGTATTTATGTTTGTTTGTATATGAGTATGAGTGTGTGTGTGTGTGTGTGTGTGTGTGTGTGTGTGTGTGTGTGGTGTGTGTGTGTGTGTGTGTGTGTGTGTGTTGTGTGTGTGCGCGCGCGCGCGTGTGCGTGTGTGCATAAACACACTTACATAGATCTATATACATAATATATGGCCTAATTCGAATGTATGTCAAGTACCCAAATTTTATTTTCACTGACTCGAACACTGATTAACCAGTCTCGCGTGGAGCAAGCGACCACGACGAGAGGGAGAGAAGAAAGCTGGAGACATCGGGTCAGGAATGTGGCCAGCCTCCCTCGGCGGCCAGGCTTGCGGCAACACAAGGCCAAGCAGCCGCAAACTCCTGGCCGGCTTTAGAACAACAATGCGGGGATGCTGTATGCTGCATGATTACCTAAGGCCTTAGGGAGGTTAACAAACAAACAAAAAAAACACACACGCAACATACACATACACGTAGCTTATACATACAAACTGAGCTCCTTCTTTGACCACCCTGTAACATAACACAAAACTACGCAACCTTACGCAAAAGCAAGCTGATCCTTTGTGAAAATGGAGGAACTTTATTCATGCTTTTCCCTTTCGCGGAAGGCGACCGGGATGCCATTTCAGAGAGGCGAAGACACTCTTCCGGTCGGCGGATATAAAATGCCCTTTTGATACCACGAATCAGCCGCGAGGGACGAGAATTAAGGCGAATTGCGCCGTTATCGAAGATCGATGGGGTCCGCATGCAACGCCGTCCAATTTCTGTTCGTGATGAATGAACGCGAAAATGGAAAGTAAATGAACGATCTTGATTATTCCAATTGCGCCGCAGCAACATCCGAGAGGGTTCGGCGCCTACGACTTTCGAAAACATACAACGGCGAGCCATAACCTTCCGATATAGACTACAGCATACAACACTTGCATACACTATCAATCCCCAGAAGCATTTCCTGTCCCGATTAGGCAGTGCAGAAGGCGAAGGAATCATGCACTGCCGCTGCATCGTCCTTGCCTTCGGCTTACCTCATGGCCAGCGTGAGCAGCATCTTTACGGCATTACGAAGGCCACCGAGAGATTACCGTAACGATCTTACAATGTAATTCATTGCAATATATATGGAAACAAATATAATCTTGCTGCCCTACAACAGTGAGCCATTAACAATGTCATCACAGACACTTGTGGTCAACATTTCAATAACCATTACTTCTAAAGTTAAAATTTCTTGCAAACACACACCTCCCTTTTTAAAACAATTTTCATTTGAATAATACTGAAACTAGGCCACCGCTATCCCGATCCAATATCCCGATTCCGCCATAATTCACAAATGACTGTGGCCTCGCAACTAAATTACACGAAGTCGAATTAGACAACCCATTAGCGACGAAAATGCCCGACTGATTCACTTCTTTTACCTTTTAGCTTTCACTAAATACGTTAATAATAATACAATCTGTTAAGTTCACATATCGAATTCCTGATAATTAAATCTAATGCCTCTGAAGGATATCGGTGATTCTTAGGCGCATGCTAGTAGTTATTTACTATCGATTATCAGTTGTATTATCGATAAGAATCTGAATACAACATTTAATGAAGCTTTATCATGAAAGATGGGGAGGAGGGTGGAATGACACGAAAATAAACGGAAGAAAGGGATAATCATACACATATACAACACTTACGCACGCGTAGGCATGTGAGTATGTATGCATAATTGTATATTCAAGTATGCATTTCGTATGTAAATATATAACATGAATATAAATATATATATACATACCTATATAAATAAATATTTACAATGCATACAAATATACGTATATATACATATGTGCACATATACATACATATATATATATATATATATATATATATATATATATATATATATATATATTATATATGGTGTGTGTGTTGTGTGTGTGTGTGTGTGTGTGTTGTGTGTGTGTGTGTGTGTGTGTGTGTGTATATATATATATATATATATATATATATATATATATACATATATATATATATATATATATATATATATATATAAATTGAAAGAGAGAGAGATGGAGAGGGGAAAAAAAACAGAATACAGATGAGGATCTA